ACTTTTGCAAACATGATAAACTTTCATCAGTTGAAATGCTCTATAAATAGCAAACAAACAGATATGATAATCTCGTCCTCTTGAGGACATGTCGTGTTATTAAAAAAATAGATATGATCATCAGTAGATTATAATCACAGAAAAGAGAGACAAAATAGATATAATCATCAGTAGATTATAATCACAAAAAAGAGAGTTACAATGCCAAAATGAGTTTTGTCGCATATCGATACTTTGCAAGAAAGAATTACTTCTACTAAAGAGGGATCCATAAATTCCATTCAAGCAGTTTATGTACCTGCAGATGATTTGACCTACCCTGCTCCTACCACGACATTTGCATATTTAGATGCTATTACTGTACCATCAAGAAGATTAGCTGCCCAAGGCATCTATCCAGCAGTATATCCTCTAGATTCAATGTCAACTATGCTCCAATCTCGGATCGTTGGTGAGGAACATTACGAAACTTTGTCGCATACTAGTTAGAGTGCTAGCAGCTTTACAGCATATCCTGGATGGTGATCACAGGCCTAAGACTCCAGAGAAGTTCTCATGGACCTTAGTCCTTTCGAAGAACAGTCAGGTCCTCTCTATATCAAGCACAGATTACTACTCTTCTTGCAAATAACTATCATTACTCTACTGCTGTAACTCATTAAATAGAGGTATTTCACTCTCATTTGTAACGAGAGCAGATGTAATTAACATGGAATGTTCGGATCCCCTAAAATTTGTATTACCTCGGTGTGTGTGTGATAAATGTGTGTATATATATTACCTCTATAAGAACACTTCTTTAAGGTATTGCTTGAATTTGTTCGATAGATTATAATGTTAACTTATTTATGCGTTTGCCTTATCTATTGAGTTGCATCATATCAGCTAGGAAGTTTTGAATAGGGCCAAACTATGCCATGGCAGACTCACAACAACCCCAATAAGGAGGATATTGGGACCTAGGCATTTTAAATATGCCACCATTGAAAATCCAATTCCAATTTCATCTCTCATGATTATTTTCTTGGCATATGAAAGCATGAGACAAGGAATCTCCCACATCTCATCTCATACAGCATAACATGTCTTCGTCTGAACTTTAGTACCAAGTATAGAAACCTCATATTTGAGCTCTACGTCGCCCATGCTATATGCTTGAATGAACTACACCAATTTTTTGGCATTCTAATCATAGGTCATAGACTTTGAAATGAAACACCAATACTTATCACTTATGTCCACGACATTGCACATTCTATACAACAAGACTTATGCATTAGCTCCTTCAAGCCCAGACCACATTTGATTAGGTCCGAGCTTTCCATAGTAACAACCTCACATTTCAAGCCAAAAAATTCCTCTACATACTAGAGAAGTAGAGGATGTGAAGTCAAGTTTGTTTCACTTTCCTTTTGGGTTCCTTTTAGGTTAATTATATGGTTATTTAATGCTCTTTCCTTACTTTGATCTAGAACCATGCATAGGGGTTAAACATTATACCTCTTGGTGTAGTCTTGCCTGATCCAAGCCTACAAAGGAGATTCATCCTTGTTCCTTTCCTTTTATCATGCTGATGAACCTAACCTTTCTATGAGATCCTGTAGTGTGTGGAGAAGTTCATCAAATACACATTTTTTGCATGTAGGCCCCTTTTCTGGCTAGTGATAGATGGACCTAAGCCACATCCTGATCCCCTCTTAGGAGCCATGCTCTTCCTGATCCCCTCTTAGGAGCCATGCTCTTGCTAGACCCATATAATCCTCTGTAAATGATTTCATTATAATGGTGTCAAGTGAAGGCCTTGAAAGGCCTCGTGAATCCAACAACCTTGTCATGGAAGTTAAGCAAGAGGCCCACATCCCTATGAACACCTATACTTGATCCAGAATTGGACACACAATGTGTGACTATTGTCATTCTAAAGGTGAGGGATTGCAAGTTGAAGAGGTTATATAACAACACTTTGACTCAGCATGAACTGCTCCCACTGTGATCAATCGTATGCTTCTAAATAGATCTTATTATGTGCCTGTGTAAGAGATGATGAAGAATGGCAGCATGAACTGCTCCGACTGTAATCAATCGTCTCCTTCTATAGACATCTTACTATGTGTCTATGTAAGAGATGATGAAGACAAGCTTCAAACATACACACACAAGTAAGGCAGACACAAAGAGGTACATAGACATATAGAGTAGTAGAGATATACAAAGAGAATAATTACTAGACATTGTTCCCTATTTTGCGAGAACAATCAACAGCTTTGAGAAGATGCATAATAGTATCCCACAAGTTAGAAGATTTCTTATGGAGACTAAAATACTGCGAAACCAACTACTGTAGTTAAAAATCAAAAGTGACAACTAACATATCCACAAGAAGTCAGAGAAATGGGGTACCAGGGTAAAGCGCCCAAGGAAAATATGTCATTCATCCCACATGGTAATTCTTCTCTATAAGTTGTATTCTTCACTTTGTACATGTAATCAATTAACTAGAGGTATTACGTTGTTATTTCTTTCCTTTGGTAGTAAAATAATAAAGGCCTTTATGGTTGCTTTAGTACAGTAACTCAAAATTTGAAATAAACATTCCTTTATAGGAACAAAGGTTTGGCTGTTCAGTATGTGCATATTTGACATACCCACCTCTCCCATTTGACTAAATTTGAGCGAACAAGGTCTAGACATCCAACACGAGTCTCAGGCTAGTTCAATGTTACAGACTATATCTACCCCAAATTTGAGGAGATTTAAAGTGAGGAACTTTGCAAGACAACCGCTCTAATGAGACAGAATCAAGATTCCTCGGTATTTTCATTGATAGATCATTGTAAAAAGCCAAGATCTTGAAACAATAATTTTTTTGGGTTACCTAGAGCCTCATATGGTAATTAAAATATAATAATAATAAAGAGAAAATCAATACTAGTATTCAGCAAGGATCCAAGAGAGTTTGAACACTTTGGTTCATCACACTCTTCCATTGGTAATTGTGAGTTGGATTCATTATAGAGTGCATCTAGGCACTAGACCTTCCACCCCATATCGTCCCCTAGACTGTCTTTTTTATGTAAATTATAGATTTCCAGCTTATGTAGAAGGAAGTGTTTGAAATGATCACTTTGCATAAGGAAATTTGTTATCTTCGATAGACACCTTCTCCCTGTAGAGGGCTGAGGTACCATTAGTTATGGAAGAAGAACAAGAAGGGAAATTGCAAGCAGAAGGACTCTCAGCATGGGTAGGTAGTTAAGAATACTCCCCTTCAGTGGTCTATGAGAATTATACATGCTTGCACCACTGCTACCGCAACCACATTACTGGGAACAAGCTATAACTTCAACTTGATGATGCTTGAAAAGGGTACTGAGAAGGTCTATTTATAGCCAAAGACGTTGCATTAGGAAGTGTTCGATTCGACCACTTTGCTTTAGAAATTTGTATCTTCAGTAGACACCTTGTCCCTGTAGAGGGCCAAGGGACCATTAGTCATGTCTTCTATGTGTAAGGAAGAAGGAGAAGATGGGAATTTGCAAGAAGGACACTCAGCAAGGGTAGGTGGTTGAGAAGACTCCAATGGTTCATTACAATTATACACACTTGCACCTCTGCGACCACAACCACATTTCTGGCAACTAGCCAAAACTTCAACTTGTGATGCCTAGAAGACATTGGTCTCTGAAGAATTAGTATTTTCATCACAAGATGAAAACTCATACCATCATTGTCACATCTTATGAATTGTATGTCACAATATGTGAAGCTTACCACACATGTTGAGCCATGAACATCACAAGTTCTGGAATCAATGGCACATTATGTGTTGTCAACATCACAATGTGTGATGTGAACAAGAAATTGTGCCGTCATAAGGTTCTGCAGTAGGAGATGTTTTATGAAATAAAGCCTTTTTAAAAAATAACAAAGGTGGGAACATCATGATCACTCGTTAACAGAAATACACTATAAAGATTGTAATTGTCTAGCCCCATCAAAACTCAATAGCTGGAAGAAACAAGTTCAATAATCCATAAGGATTATGGTCTACAATGAAGAAAAATGATGCACGTTTAATTATGTCTCCTCCTTTTAGATTTTCAATAACCTCTAATCAGTATCTTAAAAACTGTCGTATCATTGTCTACTTTGAGAGAACATTTTCTTTTCCATTTTTCCAACAAACTTCGCAAACCTTTTCAAAATAATGGAGTATTCGATTTGAAGGTGATGATAGTCACTTTCATTTTCATAAAAAATAGGCCTACCCAAGCCTCCACATAGGTGAACCTCCTGAGACAACCTACCTAGGAGAACATCTCTCCATTCCTTAAGAGGACTTCTTTGATTCAATCTTGACTTTGGCAATATCACTCTACAACTTGTTTACACTATCTAGATCCCCAGCCAAGGACGAGCATGGCATTTTTCCCTCCACAAGCATCCATTTCAGTTCTAGTTAGTAATGTAATATTTTCCCCTACCATGAAGATTCTGTTCTTTGCCTATCAACCAACTCAGAAAATGAAGTAACACCTAGCCCTTCACATATCACCACTGGACTGCATTGATTAGGTAAGACAATTGTAAATTCATTCAGTCCTCCATCGCAGTTTATATTCACCTACATATTTGTATTCCATTGACATTTCTCAAGGTTGATGGGCTGAATGAATATAAAAATTGGCAACTGTAGAAACTTAAGAATTGGCTGGAATTTTTAACTGATTCTTGACTGAATCATGGGATTCTCACCATAAACCTCATGTAGACTTTCTCTGGGAGTGTATAAAAACCAAATTGCATAGACTTGCACTTAAACTATGTCAAAAATACAAGACAATAGAACTCAAATCTTATACAATACACCACAAATTGAGCTTACAACTTCAAATTACAATGACATGACTGTGATTACAGTTAGCAGAACTCTTCTGATACACTTAAAAATAAGAGGACAGAACTCTATCCATCAACAAACCAAACTACATATGGAGAGATCATCAACTAGACAAGAATGATGTGCTTTTAAAAATTCTGCACTATTCAAATTTACAATGCAAAATTATACATCGAATGTCATTACAAAAATAAAAAGGAATGATCTTGAACATAAGAACGCACATATACTCGAGGGAATAATATAACATGTCCATGAGAAGCCAATTAAAGCTCTTGGGTGCCCGGTTATGATATTGGGTCTTAGTTATGTGCCATAGGGTAACATGCAATGGCATTACTCAAAATTCAACCAAATTCATCATATCAAAAATAAAAAGCCAAGCATCTACTGATGCACACTTGAAACATGGAAAATTTGCCAGAGATCAAATGAGCAAAAACCAAGTGGAACTCCTGGGAGAAAAGGTGGCACACAAATCACTAAACGGGTTCAATGAGTTCACAAACAGTGCCACACAAATTCAACATAATCTCCTCTTATGAAAACAACAATTTCATCTATCAAAAACAAGATTTAATTGATTGATTTTGGAGTAAGAAAAACTCAGAGAAATATCAGTCAATAATTCTAAAAAATTCTCATGGAAAAGGTCATAGAAATTAGATCAATTTGTGCATAGATAATGCCGTCAACTACATGGATCAAAGTAGATCAAGGAATTTAATGATCAAGAATCACTATGAAGGAACCTTGCTGTAACTAAGAATTTACAGCAATAAGAAATAACTAAAACCAAAAGGAAATGATAAGATCTTACTCAAATGATGAAGGTCTTGAAAGCTGGATCATCCACGGCACTGGTTGAGCTTGAGATCATCATCAATAGATCCTTTAATGGAGCTTTCTTTCACATCAATTCAACACTCACTTTGGAAGAGAGAGAAAGGAAGAGGACAAAGCCTAGGCATGCCACTCGAGAGGCTAGAGAGAGAGCAAGTGGTGTTCCACTTAGTAAGAGAGAGAGAGAGAACTCAAGAGTGAGGCAATAAATGCTTAAAGGGATATTTATAGGCTTCTAGCCACCAAGTATATAGATATTTCTAGATAGATGATTCTAGGCCCTCCATGTCATCATCTTATAACTACAAAGAGATGTTTGATCCTAGTCCACCATCCACCACATATCATTAAGATGTGTTATATATATTTAAAGAGTAATGACACTATGAGACCCCACACCCATGTGAATAGGACCCCAAAGGATCACCATTAAATTTTGACACAGATCTCTAGAAAGTTATTACATGGGTGTGAGACTTGGGTGAATGGGTTTATTGATAACTTTTCTAGAGATCTGTACCAAAGTTAATGGTGATCATTTGGGGTCCTACTCACATAGGTGTGGGAGGGTCTCATAGTATCATTACTCATATTTAAATACCATTATCCTCCTTTTTTAATAACTATAATTCACTCCAATTTACCTTGTATCAAAATACCTATACTCTTTTCATTTAATCGAACTTAAAACCAAGTTGGAGGGTATTATTTTTTAGGTAATTTGTCAAAAATTTTAGAAAAAATCAATTTTAAAACTTCCCTCCATTTTACAAGAGCATGTGGGGCTAGTCAAATCATACCACATATGCTAATTAGTCAAGTGCACAATTAGATATTCAAACCCTATCCCCCTTCTAAAAGGCTCACACATATGTACAAATCACTTGCTTTTCATATTTAACATGTGCCCAAATTTATTTTCCATTTTCATAAAATATCACAAAATGCCATAATTAAATGTCTTTTACTTAAATAAACAAACCACAAAAGGATAAGAAGGTCCTATAGGGGTTGATGCCACCCCCACATCACCCTCCACATGGGGCTGATGTGGGACCCTCTAGGACTCCACGTGGATTCCTATTGGCCATTTGGGTATCCCATGTGGGTCCTGGAGGACTGTCCTTATTTGTCATTTTATCAAAATATTTATAAAAAACTCATTTTATTGCTCAGAAAATTTTGAATTTTTTTCCAAAATCCACAAAAAATATTTTAATCATTTTTCATTAAAATAAATCCTTTTAACATTGTTTAAAAACATTTACAAGGATCATATGAAGTTGAATTAGGAATCAAAGCATTCCACTCGGCTAGACCTGAAATTCAAAGCCACCTTCTTGGTATGACCCAACAAACTCATGACTGAAACTATACAATTAGGGGCTCATGATAGAGCTAATCAATTAGTGGTCCTAAATCTCCAATTACTAGAGCATTTTAAGTTCACATTCTAGAGGACATGCACACACTTGGTACAGGGGTTCCTCTCTTAGCATATGTGCACACCTCTTACTTGTGGATCCCTAGAAGAACGACTTCCCATGCCTTGCAACTTCCCATGCCTTGCGACTATTTATGCACATGCTACGAGAAGGTTATAAAAGTTAAGGATATAGGCCAATGCCCTTTGTTGGCCCTGACCTTCGCTTATAGAGCTATCTTATCATCAAGTTCATATCACGTAATCAAATAAATCACATCACCATGGCCCATCACACAATCATGAAGCTCAAATATAGCAACCGATACTGAATATGCTGTAAACTTCAACCTTGTCGGTACCTTCAATGTATACAAATCCTCATCATGACTTACTCCATGGCTCATGGTCTTAGTGTGTCATGAGAATTGTGTGGTCTCCTGCGTACAGTTGTAGGCAGAGCAAGGGCCAGCATAAGAAAACTTTTGTACTACATGTACATATAATAACTATATTACTGGGAAGCAACCCTATAGATGGACATGTATACATGTGCGTAGAGAGAGCCCTTTGAATTGTAGTGACAAGTGCTAGACTTGCTTTTACGGGAGGGGGCGAGCTGAAATCCATATTTTAAGATCATAATACCACTGCTTATTAACCAGCTTTGACAATCCAATCATGAGCCCCTGCATTGCCTAATTTAATAAACTAAAAACAAGGTTTAAGAAAACTCAATACTCCAAGTGAACAACCAGATGACAACACATTTGGGGCCAAATTCGCTTATGAATTCCATGTCATAGAAACACAGGTCTTTATATCATATATTGGGAATGGACAAGTTCCAGAGGTTTAATCCTCTATTATAATTTACATCAGCCTGACTTAAGCCGAATACCCTTGATTCGGGCCTTGAAAACCTATACATTTGATTCTATGAAAGAAAATATGCAGCCATACATAAATAGAAATAATACTATGGGTATATGAGCTCATATACCTGAGCTTACATGTAGGGGTACTGTGGTGTGACCTGTTCTTCTTCGAGATCAGACTTCAAGTGGACTTAGAAAACTATAATATTTCTCTCAATATCAGATATGGCTCAGGAAACAATCATTGAAGGGATTGGTTCTAGCGATACAATCACTCTCTCTCTCTCTCTGCACTATCATGTTGATCTAATCCTTTCAATCCAAAGGAATTGAACCCCCTCTTCATCAAGGAAGGAGGTTTATATAGATTGGTGAACTCTTAACCATGAAATATTCAGTCCTCATCCATCTATTGGTCTTCATCCTAAAAATCACGAAGTGATAAGCACAAAAAGTGTGATCCTTGCATATCTTTTGATCATACGTCTTCATCTTCTTATTCCAATCTTCAATGTGATAACTATGTATTTCAAATGCTCATACAGGTGTTTGCTAATGATAATCACACATCTCATTCAATTCTCATCCTCAATTTGAATTCACAGATCCCTGATCCAGCAAGGACACCACGTGAGAAAAATCAAGGATTCTGCTATCCTTTATTGAGCGTAAGTTAAGCTTTTGCAGCTCAGTCTCGACATGTCTTCATATTTATTCAACTGCTTTCATATGGTAGATCCATTGATCATGAAATTTGGAGGGACAAAAGAGGACTCAAATACAGGCACAACGATCCAAGTTTCATCACGGTTTAAAGAGATATCGTCCGTCAAAGTTAACCTATTTATGTTAGAAATTACGTCAGCAGAACCAATATAATACCAGTAGATTGTGAAGGTAACTGCTTCTTAATGAAAAATCCTTTTGAATGTAAAATTTGGTGAGCTGAAAGATGACTCATATACGAATACAATGGTTCAAATCTCACCTTAAATAGATCACGAATGAGAGAGATCTCGACCGTCAAAATTAACATATTTTTCTGAAAATTACATCAGCAATACAGTAAGTAGATTGAGGGTACAACCGCTTTCAGATGACAAATCCTTTGAGTATGAAATTTGGAGAGGTGAGAGGACTCATATACGAACACAATGGTCCAAGTCTCATCTCAAATGGATGTAATATGCGAGAGATATGATCCGTCTAAGTTACTATGTTTCTGCTAGAAACTAAGTCAACATAACCAGTTGATTGTGGACGCAATCGCTTTCATTGTACAAGTCAATCAATGTTGTACCTTTTCAGGGTGATATGACATTGAGTTGTGCATCCAATGGTCCTGATCCCATGATAAAATTCCTCATATTGAGAGAGAAATATCAATTTTGGTGATCAGGTATCATCCTGGCTATAACGCATGGGGATAGAACTTTTAAGGCTTCAACTGCCCGGACATGCGGATGATCAGTTAAACCACCTCCGATTGATATGAAACTTTAGGAAGAAGGTTATAATGCCTCAAACATGAGTCCCTGAGAGTCTCAGCTTAATCCCGAAAACATCAAGTTTCAGGGTATTAGTTAAGGCATATCTTAACTGTCGATGGATATGGACATAGGTTAAGCCAAGTCCAAATATTGCTCAAGTTATATCGCTCCTAGACTTTACCTCAATATATTAACATATGGCGAGGTTTTTTTTGTGATCCGTCTATTAAAATACCATATTCTAAATTGACAGGTTAACAGAGCCATATCACATCTCACCCAAAACTCCTCCTATATCCAGTGGAGAGGCATACATGTGTCATGAGAGCATATGTATCCTAGAGTTTTGTCTTAAATTGAAACGTCTCCATGATCTCTTGTCATAGACAGTAAGTTACGATGCACATGCATAACTAACAAAGGATTAAAAAAAATATGTATACCAAACCGCATCAAGTTCCTCCACATATCACATGGATAGGCATATCGAGCCTTAAGAGTATATGTATCATAGAACTTGTCTCACAATGAGATGACTTTCATATTTTCTATCATCGACCGTAAGTTAAACTTGAACATGCTTAACTAACGAGATATCATATCTGTTATCGGTCATGAGTCAAAACAACCTTGACTAATGAGTCAAGGTTCCGAAGGCATATTGGGGCCTTCATATCAAGAATCTTGAGCATATCACATCTTCATGGGTATATCTAAGCAGGTTTTATCAAAAACCATGCTTGTATCTTATCGATTGTCTAATAAGACAGTTATCCAGCTTAGGTTATCGACTTCGCTATTTATTTGACATCTTCAATCTATCAAACGTTTGTTAGAAGGCACTTAGTCTTATATGAGGACTAATAAACATACTTATCATCCAAGATATATCTTCAAAGGCTAAGTGTGTCGTACTCATAAATCTTCTATCTAGCGTTTGTTAACACAGTTTATCCAGCGTTCATTATAAAAGTCACGCTTTTATTAATACTTCCATCAAGCGTTGGTTAGAATAGACTTGGCCTCATATGTGACTTAAAACATACCTAACAATGGGTCATGGGTCTTTATTGAGTTGAATAAGAAAACAATAGTGGATCTTAGTTCTTAAGTCAAGTAGAGTACTTTTATTGTCGTTAATTTTGACACATGGGTACCAAATGTTTTATTTTTTAGTATTATAAATATTTATGTGATCTTTACAATTTTTTTAGAATTTTAAAAATTTATTTTTGATATAACTTAATTAAAAAGAGTATTTTCAAAATTTTCAAAACAAAGAAGGACCTGTGTGGGGACTAAGGATTCAGCCCGTACATGTGTTTGCTACCCATGAATGGAACGTGTGGC